GGGAATTCCTACTCCGACGCTTCCTCTTTTCCTGTAACCCCTCCGCCTAGTACCGCAGGTTTAGGCAGAGAAGCAAACGGGGGTAGAAAGCGAAAGGGAGGTGGGGTAGGGAGTGGAAAGAGAAAAGATGTCTAATACAGAGAAAACTGTCGTCAATTAGCAGATAAGCGCGGAGATGTGCAACCGCACCGGGTAAACAAAAAGAAACAAATTTCAGAGGGAAAAAGAGAGGGGACAACACAGAAGACTAAAAAGAAAGAAAAAAGATGAGGACGCGCGCCAGCCAAGCTTCTGGTGTCCATTCTACAGGCATCAGCCAACGTGAGCTACGAAACTCAAAGCTCTACTTGTCCTGGGCAAGAGCGCCCTCACGTTGCTGCTCCCTGCGCAGCGCCCAGCTGCACCCTCTGCGGCAACCTCGGCCGCAACGTCCGGAGAGCGCCGCTCCTCCCCGGCTACCGCGCCACCAGTTGCTGCTCCAACTCAGCACCCTAAGTTACTTCTCTGCATTAGTCCAAAACCCGAGAACACAACGCCGCCAGGTCCCTGCCACAGACTTCAAGTCCCGCCATCGTTTTCCCTCTCCAACTTTATCCAGGAGTCCCTGAGGCGCAGGGAAGACTAATGGGACACCGCGGCGAGGGCCCCAAATTCGCTTCGGGCCGAGCCAACCTGTGTCTGGCGCACTCTCGCAACCGCTCTGGGATAGCCAGGCTCTGGAGCGCACACCGCCGTCTCCTAAGTGCATTAAGAATCAATTATTTGCCTGCTATTTCTAAAGCCGGGAACTGGGATATTCCCAGCAGGGACAAAGTCTAGCCCAGAACGGTGCTCATTTCCCCAGTCTTTCGAAGAGACAGAAAAAGAAGCCTCCCACCCCCGTCCGGCGCCGCACTCGACCTAGAGCAGCCGGGTTAAATCCGACGGGGACCCTAGCCTGACCCGGCCAAGGAGATGCGGGCGGAGGGCCAGCTCTGGGGGAGGCTGGTGTCGTCAGCGTGAAAATGGGGGGCGGGGAGCCGTTCTTAATAAATACATGGACTTTAGAGAGAGGCAACATCCTGGCTGTGGAGCAGAGGTTTATGTCAAATAGAGCAAATATGCCGGGTTTGAACGTTAAGAAAATCCGGTAGTTCTCACAGCAGCCATAAGACTCAGAAATCATATTTCCACACAATGAATCACTTTACACTTTAGGACTTTTTCAGTCCCCACTACCTCTTCTCCATATAAACTCCTCTCATTTTCTCTCCATTCTCCCTTCGCCGTGTCTATATCCTCTTTACCTAGGGATCCACCGTGATTTCTGTCAACGTTGAAAAATCAAGCATTCTTTCAGGTACGTGTGTTGGTAGCGCGCCCGCTAAGGAACGTTTTCCAAGAAAAGAGGAATAGTAAGCCCAGGACCCCAAAGTCGCGGTTTAAAGCTCAGTCAACAGTAGTCACTGGGACATACTTCTCTCCCCATCCCTTCCCCTCCAAAGAGCACTTTCACTTACCGATCTTGGGGTAAGAGCGCTCCCAGACCTCAAGTCATTTTCCTTGGCATCCTTCGGACAGCCTCGGGCAGTCTTGAGTGGAGGGATAAAACAGGAATCGGGAGGGAGAAAGGAGACACAAAACATAACACTACATCATATATTCGCCGGCCTGGACCCCTCTTGGCCTACATCTTCAGGACAAGGTTTCTGCAAACTGACCGGTTGGTTGGTTTGGGGGTAGAAAACTAAAAGGTGGATTATTTTAACTGCTGGTGGTTGGGGGAGGGGGCCCTGAAGGGAGGGTAGAGAATGAGAATGATTGGGGTGGGGAAAAGAAAGCCTTAAAAAAAAAGAAAAAAGAAAAAACTCAAAAGAAAATTGAGTACGAAGTACTAACTTAAAGATCGCTAGTGCCTTTTAACTCTTACAGGTAGGTACCTCCCAGGAAGAATGCAGACGTGCGCGCGCTAAAGAGAGAATCTAGATGACCCCTATTCTTCCCGTATCTCCAGGATCTGGCCTCAGGTAGAAAAATAAACGGGGGGGGGGGGATTTTAATTCACGTTTCACCTACCCTGCTCGTTGGAATAGCTGCGCAGATTTTCCTGTTGGAGAGTTCCATCTGTCTGGCAGGAGCTGGAGTGGCGTTGGGGGCAGGTTATCTGGTGAAGTAGGAATGTACAGGAACCCCGCCCTCTAGGCACAGTTACACAACCCCAACAACCCGTCTCAGCCAGCTCTAAAACCTCTAATGATCTTCACCTTCACTCTTTGTTAGCTTAATTCTCCAACAGGCTTTTAATCTCGAACAAACCAGCCACTTCAGCTATTCATAAAATTAATTTCTCAAAAGCAGAATTATTTCAACGCATGCAAATTTTTCAACAGTGTTGCAGAAAACACACTTTTTAAAAAACACATTTTGAATTCCAAATATATTGGATTTATACATCTATTTGGGTGAATTTGGTCAAAGATTTATGTTCATTTTTAATGTTGATAGGACCTGACTGCCCCCTCCAAAAATACTGTACCAATTCACATTCCCACCAAATGTGTATGAAAATGTCCTTTTTCCACACCTTCACCAAAAACAGATATTAAAAACAGGCCCATCTGGCAGTTAGGAAGTAGTACCTTAACCCTTTTTTTTTTTTTTTTGCCTCTCTGCCCTTGATTTTATGCATGTCATAGAAAGCAACTGAAGGCGTCCATAACCATAAGGATAATCGTATTAAATCTTGTTAGTTCTTAATGTTCTAGACATTAAGACATTAATGTTAGGAGTTAATGTTCACTTAATTTCCAATTTTGTAACAGCCTGAAGAAACATATTTGAAAGAATACTTTCATTGCCCGAATCTAACTATATCATTTTCTCAGTGTTCTATATATTAATATTTTTATTATCTTTGTACCAGACAAATTCAAGTAAAATACTCTAAACCTGGAAATAATCTACAATTTGGGATTTCAAATTTTAAGTTGTGTTTACTTTCCATTTCAAAATCTCAAAATGGTCAACCTTCATCTCATTTAAAATGATTATAAGTATGAAAGAAGAAAATCTTCAAAAAGTTTTGAAATGTTTTTCTGACATAAGCTAATTTTAACAGGCAAAACTTGGTGACAACAAATAATACAACATTACAATCAATTTGATGGAAAAATATATTAAGTGCCATGCCAGACTGTCATGTGTTTTTTAAGAAGATAGCTTGAGGAATGATGGGATGGATTAAGTTAAAGTAAATGTTCATATTGGGCTGCAGGAGGCCTTTACAGAGTTCTATTTCTGTATATTGCCATTCATGTCTGGTATGCCTAATAAACAAATATCTAATTATATCCATTATATATGTTATTCAGACATTTATTCAAGCAAAACTGCCACTCCAGTACGTAGTTTCTATAAATTCAAAGAAGTCAACTTTATTCTTGACTTCAAAGTACGAAGTTTACCACTGAAATTCTCTTTCTCTATTACCCAAATAAGTACTTATAATGACTAATAAATATAGTTATTTAACGTGGCCAGAAAAAAATATACCCAAGAGAGAAATCTTTCTTCTATATCTACATTCCTTTATCTCAGTATAAGAGTTTAAATTTCTTTTTAACTTTTGGTAGGCAAAATACTATATTTCCCCTTTGCTAGTACATTCTCATTCCACGAATAATATCCATGGCAAAAGTAAACAACAAATCATCACCTTTCTTCAACCTAAACACATGCTTTTCTTTGAGCTATTTTTTGCTCATAAGTGTGTAATGGGATTTCCTTTGCCTAACCTCATTCACTTGAACTCTATCACTGTTTTTTAATATCAGCTATGAATTTGGCCTTTTAAACAGTAATTTGTGAAATTTTCTTTTATGCTTCATTGTGAAGAACTGTTAAATTTCAAGAAACATAGACCTCTGGTGAAACTGATATCATACTAAGAAAATAAAATTATATCCAGTCTGCTTAAAGAAGATAATTAAACTAGCTGTCTTGGTCTATTTTTGTCTATTCCCCATTTGTGTATATTTGGTTCCAGCTCTTTTAATTTTCCTGGTCCTTATCTTTCTGTCTTTCTTAGGTACTGTCCTTCTCCCTCTTCCCCCCTCCCCCCCAATTCATTCATTCTCTTTGGTGGTAGGGTTTTTTTTTTTTTTTTAAATTTATTTTAAGCATAAAGATCCTCTCTCTTTCTCTCTCACTCTCTCTCCACTCCACAATCCACCTACCCCCCTATTTTCCAATATTAACCATACTGCATCTCAATTTCAAATCTATTTTAGTCAGTTTGCTTCTCTCCTAGGTTTTTGTTTCTTTTTTTTTTTTTTTTTCCTGAGCAACTCTCTAAGTGTTTGCAGATAACATCTTAGGGGCAGATTATTTTTCACTGGGCCCATTGTAAGGAGTAGCCAGCTTATTGCATTACTGCAGAACACATTTCAGACTATACAATTGTAACAAATGAACAACTTGTCCTCCACAGATTCACCACAGGATCCAATTAGTTACTAAACCTTTTACTCAGGTTTTCTAATTATTTTCTGGATTTATAGCAATTGACTGCCTGAAACAATTCAAAAAAATGTTTTCATTTTGTTTCACATATATGCATACTTATGCATACATATGCATACTGCAAGTAAAGCAAAATTATGACTCAGTGTAAGCAAAAGGAACAAATTCCTAGATTAAATTACACAGACTGAAACAATTCAAAAAAATGTTTTCATTTTGTTTCACATATATGCATACTTATGCATACATAAGCATACTGCAAGTAAAGCAAAATTATGACTCAGTGTAAGCAAAAGGAACAAATTCCTAGATTAAATTACACAGATATATTTAAAAGGACTCAAATAAATACCTCTACATTAATAAATGATAAAAAAGGAGAGAGAGGCATTTTAATTCTTCTGAATATCTAGAATTTTAAATTAATATAATTTTAAAATAAAATATAAACATTGATCTGCAAGTCATTACAACAGGTGATCACTTCAGCAAAATCTATATTGCAACTTCAGCACATCTTTATTAGAACTCTTTCATTGTGGGGAAACAGCCACAAAAATAAATGCTGACTTAGAAGGTATAAATACAAATATTTAAACAAAAATGTTTGCAGCATTCAAAGCGCAAATTGTACCTGAACTGAAGGGCTCTGTGTGTCTATATATATTACATATGTGTGCATTTTATTTACTTCTATCTAATCATATACATATATTTATAATTTGCCAAGTGCTATAAACAAGACATCTGAAACAAAATATATGAAAAGTAAGCATTCTATTGACTGATTTGAAAATAAACACAAACAACTATACACATAAAATTGAATTATATCTTTTTTTGCTGTATATCCACAGAAACTTAAAGATATCAGCTGAAAAGCCTGCATTTTGTTTAAAGCTAGTGTTTATTAAATAGCCTGCTCCTTATAAAAGTTGTTCACAAAGGAAAAAACACTATTTCCATTTTTAGAGTCTCAGTTCCAATTAAAGGAGCAGTTTAAATCTTAGTTTGGCTGACAAAGCCTTTGAAATCCCTATAACTTAAATGGTCTTTTTAAAAAATTAGCTCTACTTAATAAAAGAGACAAAAGTATCAAGATATATATGAATTTAGCCTATTTTTTATTTCTGTGTGTTCATAGTAAACATTTTTGTAAGTGACAAACACGGGCATATGACCACAGTATCACAATCAAGAAATTTTAAGACAACATTAACAATCACTCAAATTTATGCGGCATTTGCGCAACACAGGTTACATATTTGCAAGGTTTACCTATAAGTACAATAGGTATTAACATTTCACTACATTTAGAAAAAATAAAAGTGACCTGTTAGTGACCACATACATCAAAATATACACAACACAAACTGAAGGCAATCATTAATTTGTCCCCTTCGGATTCAATTGAATGGGCAGTGTTGCCAACTGAAATAACTTTCCTTATTTTTTGTTCGTTTGTTTTAATACTTAGTATACCAAGTGCATTTTCTAGAACCCAATCTTTGGTCTAAAAGTAAACAAAAGAAAAAAAAAAACAAACAGTTCTTTAAAGAAAAGGACAAAACAATAAATGGCCAAAATAATTTCTTGGGCACCTTTACTACGAATTCTTCTTAAATACAAATTACAGCTTAACGTTTTAAAATTCTTCCCATAATTTAGGTTGTTCTCAAGGTCTGTGTCCACCACATAGATCCATGATAACTTATAATACTGCACACATGGAAATCTGGCGGCTCTTAGAGATAAACTTGTCAGGTTTGAATGAAATGGCAAAGCAGTCACTATTTAGATACACATTCTACTAAAATTTTGACTTCCAAACCTTATATTCTACAATGTATTCTCCCCGCATTGCACCTCGCTGACACTCCACACCTTGTTAGAATAATAAACAACCCTAAAGACTGAACAAACGTACAGAAATGGGGGGGGGGGGCTTAATAAAAAATACCTGGACTTATTTTTTAATTATCATTTACAATGCAAATGTGTGTAAAACGTTCACTTACAGTCTGGTCCCAGGGATGTTAATGTATTAAAGGGTTGGAAGAAGACCCCTGATTTTGATGTGTGAAATAATCAGACAGTCCCCCGGACAGTCCCGTCGTAAAACTTGGCAAAGAGGGTCTTAAAGACTCACAGGGCAGGGTCGAGGGGGCTTGCGGCGACGTGGAGGAGGACGCGGCCCGGGCGCTCATGGACGTGCTGCTCTGCGAAGTCATTGACGGGTGCGGGACGTGGGGGAAAAAGTAACTGGTCTGGCCCGCGAGCAGGTTGACCGAGCAGGGGTTGAGGGAGTAGGTCCCGGAGCAGGGCACCGACAGGCCGCAGGGCACCGAGGCGGCGAGCGCGGCGGCCGTGAGGTGGTGCGTGGCGTACGGGATCTCCCCATTGACCAGCCGGTCCACGCTCAGGCCGTTGGCCGTGGAGAAGGAGTGGTTGTTGCCCAGCGAGTTCTGAGTCAACACGGAGCTGTAGGGCATGGGGTGGCTGGGGTAGGCCGACGTGGTACCATTGTAACTCAAAGTGCTGCTGGCGCGGGGGTGGTGCAGGGACAGGAAGGGCGACATGGGCCAGTAGAGGGAGCCGGCGCGGTCCATGAAGGTGAGGCCGGTGGAGGTGAGGCGCGCCCCGCGCTTGAAGGCCAGCTTGGCCCGCGACGTGGTGGAGCGGCGCCGCAGCTTGCCCGTGGTGCCGCCGATGAACACGTCGTCGCTCGACGGGTCCAGCATCCAGTAGTTGCCCTTACCCGGGTCGTCGTAGTGGCGCGGCACCTTCACGAAGCACTTGTTGAGGGACAGGTTGTGGCGGATGGAGTTCTGCCAGCCCTGCTTGTTCTCGCGGTAGTAGGGGAAGTTCTTCATGATGAACTCGTAGATGCCGTTGAGCGTGAGGCGCTTCTCGGGGCTCTGCCGGATGGCCATCATGATGAGCGCGTTGTAGCTGAAGGGCGGCTTCTCGTACTTGCCGTTCTTCTTCTCGCCCTCCTTGCCCCCCTCCCCGTCCTTGCCGCCCTCGCCCGCCCCCTTCTTCTCCTCCCCCCCGGCACCAGCGCCTTTCTCCTTCTCGTCCGGCCCGACGGGCGCCAGCTCCCCGGGCCCGCCGCCTGGCTCGCCCTTGCCGCCCAGCCCGTCCGCTTTGGCCCCGTCCAGGGCAG